AGTTAGGCAGTACATGTATGGATTTCAGACTATGAATGTATTTTTCCAGCTATATTTAAATCATGCAGTCAGGGTTGTTTGAGACTGAAAAGACCCATTAGGTCATCCATTTTATCTCCCTGCCAAATATGCTTTTGGTTCCCTGATGCCTTTGTTAGTGCTACAGCTAGCCTTGAACAACACTGAAGACAGGGTTTCCACTACTTCTGTTGAGAAACAGTGCTGTCGAAATGCATGGTTCACAGACAGCTTGCTTGGATATGTTGCCTTGCTCCTTGCATTCTAGTCGCATGTAAACTTTACCTGTCTTTGCTTTTGAGTCCTGCTTGTGGCCTACTCTCATGTCACCTATCATCCTAACACTGTCAAGGTGTCTCCTGCAGCCTTTACTAACGCAAAGGGCTTTTTTGGGGAGTGTGTGTTGTTTCATTTTCAGGTGGGGATGTGCTCAGGGTGGTGGCCGAGAAACCCTTCCCCTTAGCACTGCCACAGTGTGTTGTTGCAAGGTGTAAGCCATCATAGCCAAGCATCTGCTTTGTCCCTCTTTTGCTTGTCCATATGTGTTGTAGTTGCATGTGGCCCTGTCAACTCAAATGCTTTTGCCCACGTTTTCCAGCATGGTGGGGAGAAGCTCTTCCATAGAAGCACTGTCCTCCTTCAAGTCAGTCTTTTAAAATGGCTCTTTTGTAATGATGCTTATTAAAAAAAGAAACACCAAAACCGAAAAAGGAAAATCAAAAAGCACTTTACACTTCAATAGCAGGATATTTTCTGTACTGATACTACCACCTACACACTGGTCCATCTGTTTTGTTCTTTTGTGCATGCCACTTCTGTATGTAAGTGCTCATGCCCTTCCTGGATAACAAGCTGCCTTTGTTCTACCCTGATTGAGCTCAGTGAGACAGTGGTCCCTGGGAACAATTTCTAAGTGCTGCTGCACAACATGCAGTTGGGAAGAATGGATTGTAACAGTTATGCTCTGGTTGTATTTATGCTAAATACACAGGAGAAGCTTTGGCAGTATTAATGAGGCCAAGCAGATCAGCCTAGAAGATGCTCTAAGAAGTGAAGAGATCCATGCAGCCTTCATCAGCACAGAGAACAGAAGCCATGAAGAAACCATCAGGTATTTTGGTGTGGTTTTTTTTTTTTTCCCTTTTTTTCTTCTTTCCCTTGTAATTTAGAAGCATAGAGGATCTGTGAAAGCTGTTGCAGGTGGGGATGTGGACGCTGGAGAAGAGACTGCCAGACTAGAAGCCTGAAGTGAATGACAGTGAGTTCACTAGAGCACCCAATAAGCCCTGCAAGAGAATAGGATTTAAGATGCATTCATTTCCCAAGTAATTCCAATTGTGTACCTCTAGGCCTGTGTTTGATGGACAGGTGGCTTAAAACAGGATTCAAAGCCTTTCCTCACAGATTAGATAGAGGAAGGGCACTCTGGTACCCCACTCCAGCCACTCAAGTGTCTGGAAGTTAGAAATTGCAGTGCTCAATGCTGTGGCATTTTAGTGACTTGCTGTAGGTGAGTGAGGGAATTCTGTGGAAAAAGGAGAATTAAAACCTGGCTCTCCATCACAAATGTGTGATGTAGCCGCCACACCAGCCTTGCTAGGAAACTTGCTGTTTATTTCTGTCACTCTGTGTTGTGTGTTTGTCCATATGGGGCTGACTGTGGGAATGAAATCAGCTTGCACAGTGGAGAGAGATTATTACAATAATATACTTCTTAAAGACTGATCTTCTATCCCTTTCAGAATGTTTTTAGAAGCTGGGAAACACGTTGTTGTTGAGTACCCCATGGCTTTGTCTGCTAAGGCGGCCCATGAGCTCTGGGAGATGGCTGAGCAGAAAGGTAATGCATTTGTTCTCAAGGGTGTAAACAGTATTACCTCTTGGGCAGCACCAAAAGGCATTGAACTCAAAGGCAGGGCTCCAGTCCACTATTAATCATGACATACAAGGGAGTATGCCTGTCTCAGACATGTGTCAGTCTAGGATTTAAGATGTGTGTCAATGGGGAAATAAACACGCAAGTGTCAATGCTAAGAGTAAGGTCCATGTGCCCTCACAAAAGCGCTAGTCTCTGCTTGTGACACTAAGAATGCAGTTAGAGAAGGAAAATTCCATCGCAGTGATAGCAGAGCACTTAATGAATGTAGGCATTGGACTTGTGCACTTCCCTCTTCTCTCCCACTGAAAACAAAACTGGAAATAGCTTTCCTAGCTTCTAGCATTTGGGGTGTGCTGGTCACACACAGCTGCTCATGTTATTGTAAGCCAGGAAGGCGTCCCTGTCTGAAAGACAGCTTGTCTCCAAGCAAAATCTCTTTATTTCTGGATAGCGTGTGGTCCCATCCCTGCGGTGCCAAGGGTCAGAAGCTGGCAGTTCATTTGAGGCCAGTGGGGATGTGTGGGGCTGCAAGGGAAAAAACAGTGCTGGGCAGAAGCAGAGTGCAAACCATTTGGACAAGCCGCACTATTTATACCACTACTTAAAAATTTCCTTTGTGACTTCTGTCCTAAAACACCAGAGGTATAGGATTTCTGCTTTGCTGTTTCCCAGTTCCAACACCACTTACTGCCTTGTTGCTCACCAAATGGCTTCCCATTGAGCAGAATTTATGCCTCTTCTCTTGAAGCGGCAGCAGTTACTGTCAGCAGCCTAAACTGACTCTCCTGGAAACCTTCCAGAAAAAACACATTGAGTGAGGGCCACATCAACGTGTATCGGATAGCCTCTATTCAAAGTAGCCCAATTAATTGGAATGGAGGGAGGTACTCTTTAACATATTGTTACAATCTGGGTCTGAGTATTATGCTATCTTTTTCCCCTCTCCTTTTTCTTTCCTACCACCCTGGGAGGAAAAATGCAGAACAAGGAAATGTGAGGGGAATGAGGCCAAGAATTAATCCGTCTTTTACTTTGAAGACTCATGTTTCGGCCTTAGTTGGGTATTGGGTTTCATTACAGTTTCTGTTAAACATAGTGGCTGCCGTTCCTGTAGTCTCTATATTTGTTGTCTCCTGAAAATCCTTAACCCAGATTGATGCCTCAGCACAGGGCCTATGTTTGATTTTCTTCCCAACATCATTTTGCCAGCCATGCGTGAGAACATTTCTAAGTGAGTTCCCACTGGTGGCTGGTGAAGCCTTTACTGCTTAGACATGCCTTTAATTCACACAGAAAGCTCATATTTAATCTGTCCTGATTTTTGGTTTTGATTTTTTTTTTTTTTTAATGGCAGATAAAGTACTCCATGTAGAGCATATTGAGCTTCTGACTGAAGAGTACAAGCAGCTGAAAAAAGAGGTGGCTGGGAAAGACCTGGTGAAGGGAACATTGCATTTCACAGGTCAGTAGCTGTGAGGAAATCAAAGTCCATCTGGATTTGTCAGGCTGCTCCACAGGGATGTCTGTCCTTCCAGGCTTCATTCAGTCCTTTTTGATGAGAGTCTGTATATAAACTAACTAGAGACACAGGCATTAGTCTGGAAAGCACTTTTGCTCTAACAGTTGTCTTCTATGGACTGTTGCTTTGCTAATCTCTTTCTGCTATCTGGTGATGAATGCAAGCCCATGCCTTGTTGTATGGAGGAGAGAGCACTTCTTTATCCCTTCTGCACTTTGGTGGCAGTGATCAATTTCTCATTCATATTGGTCTCGGAGAGGAGGATGAGCTCTGGGGAACTGTCCCAATTTCTAGTGGGGACCTTTAGTCTTCCATATGGTGTTTGGCCCTAGAAGAGCTGGGAGAGATTTTCAAGCTGTTGTTTTCTCCCTACATTGTTCCTTTGTTGAATCCATGTACATCCTCCTGTCCTCAACATGTCCTGAAGGGTTTGTTGTATATGTACTTTGTGTAGCCTTCTCTGTCATAGCTCACCAACAGATCTGTTTCAAGGTTGACCATGTTTATTGGCTTTCCTACTCAATCCATCCCCTCATGGCCTTTCTACACCCTGGTCTCTAAACTCTAAACTGCAAACTGCACTTTCTTCAGCCTTTCCTGTGCAGAGGGCATTGTTCCCTTTCCCATTTCTCAAAACTTTCTGTTGCACCAGGTAGCGTCCTCGATGAAAACAAAACAGGATTTCCAGCTTTCAGTGGAATTGCCCGACTGACTTGGCTGATTGACCTCTTTGGAGACCTCACTGTTACCTCTGCCACCAGAAAAATGCAGAAGGATAAGAATTATTCCAGAATGACTGTTCACTTTCAGACAGCAAACAAGAAGTGAGTAATGGCCATGGCAGCATGTGAGTCAGGCTCCTCAGGTATTGTCTGCAGGAGTTCTGCATCCTCTCTTCTTCTTGCGGAAACAGAATGGGTGGATGCTGGCATAAAAGTGTACAAGAGAAACAGATCTTAAAGTGCTTCCTTTAGTATTCACAGTAAAAAGAGCCATCACCAAACAATGTCTGCTGAAGAGCACAAAGAGGTTTAAAAGCTCTTTTCTGATGTCTGAATCTAGGAATGGACCCATAAAGTGTTTTAGCATGCCCAGGACTGAGAGACCCTTCTCCTGCGCTCTGAAGAATTCTTCAGAGACAGGATATTTTTTGTTTAGCATCAGACATTCTAGCTGCACATTGAAAGCTAACCTTTCTTTAAAAGTTGAAAATATATGACTATTTGAAAAGGTAATGCACTAGTTATAATACTTAGCTTATAGCACTTTAATGCTTGTGCTAGTACGTAGTACTGGCTGGAGGTTAAGAGAAAATTACACATTTTGAGGAGAAGTGTAATAAACTACTGAAAGGCCAACACGCAAAGTTTGCTCTTGACTAATGCCTAATCTGCAATCCTGAAGTTTCTGTGATTTTTTCCTGAGTAGGACATCAGTCTGTTGCCCATTTCTTTCTTTTTTTTTCTTCTGTTGCATGAGTGTGTCAGACTGAGTGAGAATCCAGCAGCCAGGATTAAATGTCATTTTTTCCAGTCATTGCACCACGAGCCTGGCTCTTGCAGAAAACTCTTTTGATGATGCATTTTAAAACAATGGGTTTGATCTCCCTTTTATTACATGCTAACAATAGCCTTGCTATCAAATAGTATCTTTTTAATGGCCTTGCTATAAAATAGTATATTTCTAAATATTATATGACCATGAAGTAAGTCAGCAGTGTTTCATAGTGCAGATTGAGTACTCAACTTGGTCCAAAGTCTGGTGGTGTATTTTGCTGGAAACTGTCCATTTTGGTCATTCTGGGCCATGCACATGGAGGGTCATGTCCATGGAGGTTTCAGATAGGTTGAAGTTACTTACAACGACAGTTTACTGCACGCTAAGGTGCAACTTGAGAATTGCTTGTCATGAAAAAGTACAGAGAAGTTACCCAAGCTCTGTACATTTCCTAGGAAGTAGGAAGGGTGATGGGACAGTTTGTCCCTTTCTCTTCACTCCTGTTTTCCTGTTTTTTCCACATGGCACACTCTGCCTTTGAGACAGATGACCCCCTCATAGGCATATAACAAGACTAGGGAAAGCAGGGGAAAATAAGACACCATGGGAAAAGATTCTGGCCTGTCTTCATTTGTAGTAAATTATCCTTTTTTTGTCGCACATATACTGCTAGAACACTTAAAACAAACAAAAAAATAACCCAAACCCAACCACAACAAAAAAGAAAAAAAAAATTGCCAAATGTGAATGCTTACTTCTTTAAGAATTTTAGATAAGTGTTTAGTTTAAAAAGGATTAACCTGAAGGACTAGCTATTTGGGGAGTGAATAATCAGGGCTCATTTGAACTGCTAGTTTCGCCATGGGTTTAGTTAAGCTTTTTATCACCCAGTCCTACAAAGCCCACTGCAGTTTATCATGGGATTACCATCTTGTCCTAGCAATCTTCCTCTCTCTGTAAATAAAACATAATTTCCAATTCCTTTTAAAATGCAGTTGTGAGAGGACAGACCTCCGTATACAAGCTCTGTTTACCCTCAGCAATTTGCTAGTAACACGAGTAGCTGTAAAGGTCTATATAGAGTGAGATTTTGAACTAATTCCAGCAGGTGGAACTAGCGGGTGGCTTAAACATTTCCCTAGCTGTCCTGTCTCCTAGGTGGTTCTTAGCTGCTATGTATGATATTTGCTAGATGCAGAACTGTTTCTAGATTACGGGGTTTTTCCTGCTCTACACCACTAACCGATACCTGCTTTTCTTAGCCCACTACTATTTGTATGGGTCAGTGTGTGTTTTGTCAGCATGGGCTTTTTAAAGACCTCAGGGACAGTCAGCTTTATGTCTCTTGGGATAATTTATGCTGGCTGGAAAGTTACATAGCGTTCCTGTATTCTGTTCGGTGGCGGAGCCATATTTTCTGCTGACCTTCCCCCATTGACGTCAGTGGAGTTACAGCAGTAGAGAATTTGGCCCACTCTCTCTCAAGTGAAGATGGCCAGCAGTCATGGTGGTGGTGTCACAGCTTTAATTTGCCCAACCTTTATTTTGCTGAAGGATGGGAAAGGTCTGCACCTTTCCTGAGAGTAATCCTATCCTTTCTTGAAAGACATGATTACGCTAACCTTGAGAAATCAGGTTAATTCAGCCTCTTTTCTGCTTTGGAAAATACAGCAGGTGCAGACTGCAGCAGCCTGTGTTCTGCTTGTTAAGCGGGGATCTGTGCAAAGGCGATAGTCTGTCTCTGCTGCACAGCCCGCACTGGCTGCTCATCTGTCCCTGGTGGATTTTGGAGGTGTGTGTGAATGCCTGACGCCCAGCTATCTGGGAGATGACCTCTGCCTCTGTTGTGTTTCCAAGACAGATGAGCTGAAAGCCTCTCTGTGATAAAACACTGAGCAATCCAGGAAAAGCCAAACTTCTACTGATAGCATGGCTGGTTTGGGACTGCTGTTTCTGTCCCAGGGTTGCAGAGCTTGGATTCAGTAAATGTCAAAAATGAAATTTTAGTGTGAGCTGGAGAGATAAGGATTTGGGCAATGTCTTTTTATTAGGGGTAGGGCTTAATTGTCTAATTCCCATCCAAGGTAAGGTACCATTTTTGGTTGCATGGTAAATAAAAAATATTGGCATTTTCAATGCATGGAAAGGGAGATGTTTAAAAGAAACTGAAGACATTTTCTGAACACATATTCTGTCAATAAATGTTTGAAATTATGTTTGTATTGAGATCTATGCTTACAAAGTCTAATAAAAATCTTCAAATTGAACATCCATAAAAAATCATGTAATACATGCTTTCTGAAGAAGGTGCTGCATAAAATGTTAAGCTGAGTGCACCCAGCATGAAACCAGCTTAATTATTCTGCAGGTACAAAGAGTGTTCACTTTGTTTTGGTTTATTTAACTAAGGCAGTCCAACTAGGGCCACTCATTACTTGAAAAAACGAGGAATCAGAAAAGCAGAAAGTCTCTTCCAATCTCTGAATAAAATGTAGCTAGGAGAGGTCTACCAGGCTAAAATCTGGAAAGACAAAATGACCATAAAAAGTCAGGGTGGTTTCTTCACTGCAGATAGTGCTTGCTTTGTAAAAAGTCAGTATAAAAGTTGTTTGTTAGTGTTTGGTTAAACTTTCTTTTCATTCTTTAACTGTACAACATATTTAATGTGGCTTTATTCAGCTACCCAAACCATTGCATTTGTTGCTTCTAAGTAACACTGCTAACACGTCTAACTAACTACATCCATAGACAAAAAATACTTTGATACAAATCTTTAATGAAAATGGGTAAATGATCTATTAAACAACCTGGCAATTCTCCACAATTTTCTGACATAAAATACAAACCTGTTTCTTAAGCTAAAAAATTGCTTGAATAGTGTGCAGACTTGCAGCATACATATCTTTGTAGCAAAAAAAAGGGGGCTAATTTTAGTGTAGAAGTTATTGTAAATTAAAAATTAACATGTTTCAGTCACCAATCAAGTAGAAGAAACCTCTCTCTGGGAAAATAACTAAAAATCCAATCACAGGAGAAGATAAATCTGATAGTAAAACCAGCATTTTCCTGCTCACTGATCTAAATCCGTCATTTTATTCACTTTGATTAAATTCTGCCCACCCTGCATGATTATGCTTCTCATTCATTGGCTTCCCCAAGCTAGAGGAGAAGACGACATATACTCGAGCCTAGTCATTGGTGTGCCTCTGGTCTAGATGACCCCAGGGAGGTGACCCTGTTTTGGATCATATTATGGACCCACCTCTATTACAGGTGGATGTCTTTGCCTATGCCTTCCCAGTGGTTTCTTCATACCTGCCTAGCTGAGATAAATCAGCTTTGGATAACAGTGGCTTAAAGAATATAAAACTGGCTCTGTTGAGTCAGAGCAAAACCCAGCTTGCTCAGCAGCCTGCCTCTGACCCAGGTCAACAGCCAGCATCTTGGGGAAGGAGGGTGAGGACATAGAAAGCACCAAGTGATATGACCCTCAAGCACCCTTCTGGCCTGCAGCGACATGTAGCCTTGGGACTTCCTGGAATGCATGATGTGTTCTGATTTATTAGTCCTCTGAGGACTTTTTTTGGTGTGTTTTTGCAGGCTGTGACTTGGGTAAATTTTTTTTTTTTCTCCAGTTGTTTTATTCTGTTGAGTCAGGTTCATCTGGCCAGGCTTAATTTGTAGGGTGTGCGTGTGGTAGTACGGGTGAACAAAGAATAATTGATACAATGATGTGAATATAGAAACTGGATCCTAAAGCATAAAAGATGAGAGGTGCAGAGTCATTAAGCTGAGTGCTCTGCAGAATGTGTTCAGGGTAGACTGACAAGGACTTCCCAGATCTAATGATATTGAAGATTTAATGGGCAGTACTTGGAGACAGAATTTATTCTTCCATGCTATTGACGCCCTCATAATTTGTGAGTGGCAGACTGAAGTGGGCCATAAAGGACTGTGGAAGGGCCATCAATAACCAAGTAAGAAAAATAATGTGCATCCTCTAAACACAGGCAGTAGTGAGTGCTGATGAATGACCTGCAGAAAGGTAATGGCATGGTTTAGGCAGCTGACAAAAGAGCAGGAAGGGAGGATCGTGGCTGTGGCTGGTGTTGGGGACCATTCCTCAAAGCCTCGGCAAGCATTTGCAGTGTTGAGCCAGGGAGTTTAAGTCCCCTGAAGTGATGCAGCATGTCCCATGGCTCCTCTTTCCTCAGCCAAACTGAGAAGTTGGGGAGGAAAGTGTGAGGACCTGTGAGCTATGCCAGTCGATAGCCAACAGCATCAATGCTTGGCCTGGAGATCAAGCACTGATTATGCCAACTGTCACATTGGCATAAGGCAGGATTTTGCTCTGATTAAGAAAGACCTGCCTGAGAGTCTTCGTAGCTGAAATAGGAAAAATTGACATCTTCTGGTGTAATCTCTAGGATCAACTCGGTGCTCCCAGTGAAGAGAAAGAAACGTATTTGAAAAGTTCAGAGCGTGCGGATGCTAGTGTCTGTATGAGCGAGCTTGCCGTCTGACCACCTCAGCCTAAAGGGGTGGTGTTCAGCTTGCACAGTAGCACCTGGGTCATCG